AGATAAAGAAATTTTTCCAAATGATTGTTCAGTGACTTCAAAATGGTTGACATACACATTTAATTTTCTTGAAACATGAATATTATCTTCAGACTATTTAAAGATATTTAATATAGAGAAACCATAATTGTATTCATATTTGCCATCTTAAAAATCTCAGAATTTTTATCATAAAGGGATGTTAAATTTTGTCAAATGCTTTTTCAGCATTTAATGAAATGTTTTTTTTTTCTTTCAGTTTATTTATATGATTGATTACATTGATAGATTTGCTCTCTATTTCATCTGGCTAACTGTAACCTGTTGTTGCAGAATCCATCATCCCACAAAATTTCTGGTGTGGAATATATATATATATATATATATACATACATATATACATATATATATGCCTAGTAAATCAGTCAATTTTTAAAGATTGAACAAGTTAAGGAAGATTTTGGCTTCCTAGTGGGCTGAACTTCCAATATTTTCTTTAAACATTTTATTTGACCCTTTGTTTCAAATTCATAATCTCTTAGTCACGATTACACTTATCAATCTAGATAGGAGACAAGCACAGTGACACTCAGAGTGAATTTTCCCTTTTAAAAACATCTTTCTGTTAGTTAGGCTGCCTGGATTTAAAAAAAAAAAGATGTTATTATTTGCATTCTTATGCTAACGACCAATGCTTGAGAGGCTATGGGACACAGAATAAAGAAACCACTAACATAACTCTGAAAAAAAAAAAATCAGAACATTTTTTTACCTTAACCTGTTTATGTCATAACAACTCAAACAAAAGAAGGGCTGCCCAGGGCATGGTAGGGCAGAATGAGTGGCCACTAAGCGTGGAGTAAGTGAGACCTCAGTGTCTTAGAGATACTGGCGGGGAGATGCCAGGCAGAAAAAGCCAGCACTGAGACCCAACATGTGCTACATCTCCAGGCCCCTGCGTGTCATCATCCTTCCATAGTGGGCTAGTGCTGGAAGCGTATAGCAGAGAAAATTCTGAAGTATCCTCTGGAAACCAATTAACAAATTATGTAAAGCAATGTGTCAAAATTAAGTCACAACAATGTAAACATTTTAGGGGTCTGGTGTTATCTCCTTAGTGCAATATACAAAAAGTAAAATACGGTAAGAAATATAAAAATAATATATAAAGGTGCCACTGTGGGCTCAGTAGCACTGGGAAATTCATGGGTACCACCATTTTGACTTATGTCATGTGGATGCATTCACCAAAATGGTGGTGAAGTCACACATATTTCTGTAGTCTCTATATTTATAATGTCATTCACCAGGATGGTGACAAACATTGTTACTTTCTGTTCATGAGCTCAGCTGCATGGTAAACTGTTGAAATAGGAGGCGGCGGGGCTGCGTCCCCAACACCCCAGCCACTTGGCTAGCTCATGCCCGAAATAACAACACACAAACTGTATTCATTTAAGAACTGCTTGGCCCATGAACTCTAACCCTTACAGGCTAATTCTCTCACCTGGACTAGCCCATTTCTAATGATGTGTGTAAGCACCCCAATGTGCGCTTACTGGGAAGATTCTAGCCTCCGTCCATCTTGGTGTCTTTGCTCCAGAGTGCAGAGATGTCGAGTCTCTCCGGGAGCAGAGCAGAGTCTGACCTCACTTCCTCTTCCGTCCAGAATTCTATTCTGTTTACTCCTCCCATCGATGTTCCAAGCCATGAGGCCAAGCAGCTGGTTTATTATAACTTAACCAATGAAATCAACAGATTGTTATATGACACTCCCACATCAGTAAACTAGAGCCTCTCTCAGGGCACTAGTCTCTGTACCACCTACCACAGTTTAAATGTGTACAATTTCACACTTGATTTTGATATTTTAACTTCCCCTCAATTCCAAAACACAAGATGCTGCTCGGTGCCATTTTATTCCACTCAAGGACAGTACGGTATGAGATCAGACAGATCTTGGTGTCTCTGTGTTGGCTGGGATTTAAGACCTTTGGAAAGCAGCTTGTTAAAAGAGTTCATCCTAATTTAAAATCTCAGTTTCTTTATGTGCACTTGTTCACAGTTCGAAAAGCAGCTGCTGAGTTACATCGTCTAAGGCAGCCTGGCTTAAACACACCAGGAGACTGCTTTAGTTCTTTCTGCTCCCTGACGCCAGGATTCCCAGGTTCTCTGAGGCAGTTGGGTAGAGAAGGAAAGAAGAAGGAATCTCATGCCCAGAAAAAGAAGACAGGATGTTAAATTAAGCTTACCTTTATGACCCACACTGTTTAATCTCTCCTTAGAGAGACAGGGAGTAGGATGTGGTGGGAGGGTGGGGACATTAAACAGAGTGAAGGAGACTCTGAGCCAGCCAGGGGATTTGGTTATCTTTCGTTAGCTTCAGTTTCTTGGTCTCTCTTATTATCTGTCTCTAGTTGACCCTTGGTGTCTTTCTCTGTATCTGCCAGTTCAAACTTCCCACTGCTCACTAAATCAATTATTACATATTTATGCAGGCAAGTGGCTCTAGTTTTTAATTTTAGACATTATAGTTATTTATATTTTTGTGGGATTTTTTTTTTGTTTGTTTGATTTTCTCTGTAGTTTTGGAGTCTGTCCTGGAACTAGCTCATGTAAACCAGGCTGCCTCTAATTCACAGAGATGTCCCTGCCTCTGTCTCTTGTGTGTTGGGATTAAAGGTGTGTGCCACCACCTGACTCATTGTAGATTCTTGATGATAGTCAGTTTGTTATCTATGTAAAGACTATTTATTCCTATCTATGGCTTTTAATTTCAATATGTAAGACATGATTTGATATCAATAGTTTTATATATATGAGTCATCATTTTGTATATGTTTACTAGCCTAAGTTTGCCAAAGTAGCTGTATATGATTTCTCTCTACAGTCTCTATAAGTTTATCTTTTAGCTTGAGATCTACAGTCTCAACCAGATTTTGTTTTTGTTTTTTATTTTTTTGGTATTTTTTTATCTAAAATATTTCTTCTTTGCTTTGTTTCTGTTTTTTTATATTGATTTTATTTAGCATAATTTTTGAAAGACTTCAAGATTTTTTCTTTCTCATTGGAATATCTGTAGGAAATAAGTTGATGATCTATGTGTCATCATTTTAGAAAGTAAATTGATCCCTTTGTCTAATACCTGAATGGGAAACAATCTGCATCCCAATGTAGTATTAAATAATTGTGCTCAGAGTAAATGGGTTCTCTTTATCATAGGTCAATGAAAAAGAATTTAATGCTAACATTAAGTATAATGTATGTATTTTTAAAATATGTTTTGTGATATTGTTTATTAAGCAACAATTAATTTGCTTATTAATTATTAAGTTATTAAATATAATACATCTATCTAAATTAAACAATCCATCTATTTTTACTTTGTTTAGAGGTCTACAACTATCTCTATGATCACATTTTGAAATATTTCAGCATACACAAAGAAATGCAGTAATTATTATTCGTTGCCCATTCCTCTCTTTTTTTTTTAACCTAGTTTCTTTTCCAATCCTATACCAGAACTAATAATGCTTCTCCCCAGACCTGGTGACAAAGTACTCTAATTAATGCTCACTGATCAGCTGAGGCAGGAGGAAGGCAAAGTCTGCCAAAGTTGTAGAATGGATTTGAGGCTACCCTTGGGACTTTCAGAGACCTGCTTCAAAATAAAAACTAAAGAGGTAGACCTACAGCTCAGTGGTAGAACACACACCTGAAATGAGCAAGATCTTAAGATCAGTTTCTAATAGCAACAAAAGGAGACCGGGAGATGGTGGCAAACGCCTTTAATCCCAGCACTCGGTTGGCAGAGGCAGGTGGATCTCTGTGAGTTTGAGACCAGCCTGGTCTACAGAGCTAGTTCCAGGACAGGCTCCAAAGCCACAGAGAAACCCTGTCTCGGAAAACCAAAAAAAAAAAAGGAAAAGTGGCCATTCTTATTGTAAGATCATGATTTTAAAATAGTTATCCTTTATGAATATAACACTTTGCATTGTATCTTACACTCTAGCTTTTGGATATAATTTTATTTATTATAGCATAAATGAAAATTTCATTTTTACTGAGCACTATCAATCCCTCTGTTTATGTCATTATTTAGAAGTAATTAAATTATGTATGTGATATGTATGTATGATAGTCTTTTAACTTTTCTTTAAATGCTCAGATCTTCTATTTTCTGATACTAAGTATTAATAGAATAAAATATTGAAGAGTACTTTAGTCCCTCTTTTCCTAATCATGATATTTGTTTTATAATAATATAAACATACACAATGCTAAACAAAATAATCACATATTATTTTATTTTTAATTTTTTAAAATTTTATTGAGCTATACATTTTTTCTGCCCCCCTCCCTGCATTACCCCTCCCCTTTAACCCTGGTCCCCATGCTCCCAATTTACTAAGGAGATCTTGTCTTTTACTACTTCCCAAGTAGATTAGATCCATGTATGTCTCTCTTAGGGTCCTCATTGTTGCCTAGGTTCTCTGGTATTGTGATTTATAGGCTGGTTTTCTTTGCTTTAGGTTTAAATACCACTTATGAGCAAGTAGATATAATAATTGTTTTCTGGTTCTGTTGTGGTTGCATATTTTATTTTAAAATAAGTTTAATTGTGTTAACTTTTTCAGTTTTGAGTGTCCTTGGATTTGTGGGGTTTTATCACCTGTTATAACCTGGCAACATTGAGAGCCTTGAGATATTGGTGTAGACTGTGTAATCCTTTCACTTTCTTTTTATGCATGTGACATATCTGGTTATTGGAATAAATATGATTTTCATTGTACTCCTGCTCTTGGCTCTCTTTTAGGAAGTAGTATTCTTTTCAAAGTTCTCTCGGATTGGAGTTCTGAAGTAGTTTCAGGTGCTTTTGTCTGCACATGTGCAAATGTGTAATTATGTGTGGGTGTATGCCTCATTACTTCTTAATGATAAAGTTATCATTAGTTATACTTGATACAAATTATACGTTTACATTCCCTTAATTCAGGCATTCTGTTGATTTTATTTTCTAGTTCAATTTCGTTGGGAAATTGCTTGGACCAAGAGGAAACTCCTTGAAGAGGCTACAGGAAGAAACAGGTGCTAAGATGTCTATCTTGGGCAAAGGATCCATGCGCGATAAAGCAAAGGTACTGAGTTTTGAGGTTGCTTCTTAGCACATGGAAGAGGCTCCGCAATATTGGGGGCCTGTTCACAATTCACAGATGGCTTTTCCCATTTCCTTTGTCTTTTTCTTTCTGGCACCACACTGCTACCCATCCTGATGTCTCTGTCTCCTTCAATCATTGTCCCTGCCCCCTGCTCCTCTGTACATAGTTCCTGTGTTGTCCTTGCCTACTTCTCTCTGTAAGTAGCTGTCATATAGCTGCACTTCTTAAAACCTCTGTGGAATGTGTCTATAGATTAGTACTTGGGTTTTGTAACTCCCTAGTTGGACACTTTCCCTTCTGTCCAGCAGTCACAACTATTCTTTCATTTTATTCTCTGTTTCACTTTGATCCACTTGACTGATATATTAATCATAAGAAAATTCTGCTTAGGCCTTACAAGATTTAAGTGATGTTATGACAAAATACTTGACTCAATGACAAAGGAACATGAGGTTTGAAGTTTATAATAATTTATTTCACATCTGAGCAACTTAACTTCTCATGTTATAAAGTGCTATCATGTGTTTGAATTCAATGTTTGTAGAGATCTATTCACAAGGATCCCAGAAACTTCTTTGGTAAGCAGTGGAATGTGTACAGTTGCATCATTTGACCAGACCATAAGGGAAATGACCATGAGAATGCTTGGAAATCATGTATGGCTTTTCTCTCTAAACTATTAAGGAGGGATCTAAAATGAATGATTTGAAAATGGAAAATGTCACTAAGCCAGTCAATAGTTTGTCATTCATGTATTATTTTACAGTTATTATAGGAAGTACTTAAATATTGAATAAGCCACCTAAATGGACACTTTTTACAGTGGTGCAATAGTCAAGTCTCCAAATTACAAAAGTAATAATTTTACTGATCTTCAATTCTGGATGCTTGTGATTGTGTAAAGTTACAGAAATGAAAAAATTGTTGCAGCCCCCTCCATTCTTGCTACTCCGACTGCATTAAGAAGAAACAGTGTAAATATTTGAGAGCACGTAGCTATAAAATAAATTCTTGCCCCTTGTCACAATTCAATTTACATTTTCTGCACACACAAACTGAAGTGGAATCATTTCAATTTATTTTCAAGTATTCTCTAATATTGAATATTTAGGTATTTAACATAGGACGTAATATGTGAACTTGCTATGTTCTCCAACTGTCTCCAATTCTTACAATCGGTATAGGTTTTAAAACTAAAGATTAGATTCAGCATCATATCCCCTGAAAAGTTTTTGGAACACTGCATATCTTAAAATCTCTTTTGCACTTAGAGCTCAGCTGACTGATTTATCTGTATATCTCACTGATGTCTCAACTCTTCCACCCTGAAAATGACCTAAGTAGCCTTACACATTGGGGAACCTCCATGCTATTCCTCCCTGCCTTTTAAAGTAAATAAATGCCTACTTTTCATCCCTATATATTGGAACATTTTTTATTCATAAAGTACTATATTGGATTCCTCTTTCCCTATAAGCATGTTAGGTACCAGAACCATTCTCTAGAAATATGGTAGGAAACATATTTGCTTCCATTTAATTTCTATTAGGTTTAACTTACTTTTTACTTAAAATTCTGTCTCAAATTAATTTAATTTTTTGGTGACCCAACGTAGTTGGCTTTGCTTGTAATGTTTTCAGTTTTCATTACAAAATTAAATGAAAAATGAAATAAAGCAAAATGAAATGCTTAATAATGATGTTGCACTATACAACTAGGCCTCAGTACACATTTGGTATAATAGACACACTAACGAAACGTAACTACAGACGTGGATTGGAAGGGTTTTTTGGTAAATATTTGATTAAAATAAAGATAAATTCTCAGAAAGTATTGATGACTCTGTTGCTATTTTGGTTTCTTGTAAAATGACTGACTTTATTTGATTTTATAAAAAATGTGTGAGTAAAACTCATCTAATTTTCAAATGAATATATAAAGGTGTATGTTTATATTCAGTCATGTAATACACTTAAATACATGTATTAATTTCATTGGTATTCATTGAACATCCTATGGTCCTCTATTGATTAAAAATATGTTTCCCTTATAACCTTTGTTCTGATGAAAGGGCAGACAACGTATAATTCAATGTATTATGAACTGTAATATTCTGACAGTTTGTAGAACTAAGATAAAACAGGAAAAGAGAAGAAACAATGTTTTTACAATGGGATCAAAATGACTGCTGGGGAAGAGAGAATGAACCAGGAAACAGGACTGAGAGAGAATGCTAAACAAGATGGCTTTGAGGGAGATTGTGCACAATCATCTTTAACTTTCTAATAACTATAGTAGCGAGCATAACTATAGCATTGTTTGCTAATCACAGTTTAGGAAATTTATTCTACTTTGGGTGTAATCAGATTGTTAGCCCATAGCAATGACAAAACTTACTACAAACTGCTTTGTGTTTGCATCTCCTGTGTCCCTCACGATACCACTCTCCAGTCTCTGTGGATGTGTTCTCCTCATTAGATGACTCACAAGCTCTGTGACTGGTTTTTAGGCTCTCTTCTTCCCTTCATGCCATCTACTATCTACATGCTTCTGAGTAGAAGTGATGTTGGTGACTGTCTAGTCTCCTTTGTTATGAAGTTCAGAAATTTGTTATTTACCTACCTAAAATGCCAATGTTAGAAGTTAGATAGCAACTGAGATATAGTATATATGTGTGCATCTGTGCAAATGTGTATGTGTTTGTGAGTGTGTGTTGAGGGGTGTGTTTGTATGTGCAGGTGCATAGATAAACAATGATTAACCAAACTTCAGTCAACTTCCCTTTGATTTTTGCTGAATTTGGCTTTGTTATAGATGTATCAAAATCACTATTGCTTTGATTCAGTGGTCATTAATGAGAAAAGAAAAACATATGTTTTTTTTCACATTGTTTTAGATTGCTTTCCTTGACCAAAAGCAACTTTCTTCAGTAAAGAGTTTATTTTGATTCATATCACTGAGTTTCAAATCACAATCCTTCATTAAAAAAAAGTCTGGACAGGAATGAAAACTGGACAGGAACCTGGGGACAGAAGCTGATGTGGAGACCATGGAAGAGTGCTGCATACTGGCTTGTGCCTCTGCCTTGCTCAGACTTCTTTCTTATAGAACTTAAGAAAGGTACTGGAGGCAAGAACTGAAGCAGAAGGCATGGCAGACTGCTGCCTATCAGCTTGTCCCCAGTGACTTGCCCAGTTTGCTTTCTTATATGAACTCCCAGTCCAGGAGTGATACCATCTACAGTTAGCTGGCCTGCCCTCCCCACATCAATCACTTATCAAGAAAATACTTCCCCGCAGACCAGTCTGTTGGGAACATTTCCTCAATTGAAGTTCTCTCTTCTGATATGATTTAGCTGTGTCAAGTTGACCAAAAATTAACAAGCACACAATTGTTTTTTAATTAAAAGAATAACAGAATTATAATAGGAACGCCCTTGTGTACTTATAGACAGAGCTTTTATTCACTATTCCTCATATGCTTGCCCCATATTGTGATTCCACTGAGTATTATTTAAATATACTACCTACTTTACCTTTGTAAAGAAATTTCCATGCAGACTGTTTTTATGCATTGAATATTCTGTTGGTACAATGGTCAATGTATAACATAAACTCGAATGTCATTTTATGATAAAATGAGATATTGATCAAGGAAGAAGTGTATTCCAACTATGTTCTCTAAAATAAATACAATATTGCATTTAATAAAATATTAAATACCACCCCAGCTTTTAGAAAGCTTGTAATATAATTATACAGCCTGACCTGTTTAATATTTTCCTTAAAAACAATTAAGAAAGGGTTGGTTGTTTGGTTAGCAGAAAGATACAATGACAAATTGACTTAGATTTGTTTGGAGAGATTGTGCGGTACCTTTAGCCCTTTTTCATTAAAAAATAGATTTTGTGATTTATACCAGAATCATTATAAAGTTAATTGTGGTATTTAGCAAATAGTTCTAGAAGTATGTCAGAAGGTCCAACAAGTTGGATATTTTCATTTTATTTTGTTGTTAGTGGTGATGGAGAAACGATACTTTCTATATCATTAAATTTTAACCAATAACCTTTAAGCAAAGAAAGAAAACAAACAATAAAACAGAAAAAGAAAATGTGACTGTCCAGACTAGTATCTATAGCATGAGCCCCTTTTCTTGTAATGGCTTTTTCCCACAGTGGTCAGATCCCTCAATATATTAAGTATCCTCTATAGAAAAAACAATCCTGTTGACATTCTAGGAAAAACAGTACGTTATAAATGACTAGGATGTCTATATTCGTAAGGAAATCCAAGAAATAAAATAAGCAGTATGTTAACTCTATATCAAAACACCTCAAGAAAATGAACTGGCAGTTGAGAAATTTCTTCAAAGTTCTTCATAAAGTGTGTGACGGAGCAGTTCTAAGCAACCACATAGCTGCAGGTTTACCTTGCAGTTTCTTGCAGAGACTCTAGGGTAACTTACTGCGGCTCTTATTTTTAAAAGCCTCCTAATTTTAGTGGACCAGAATGTGAAATTGGTGAAGGGGAACTTAAGTGGCATTGATTGTACAAGTTCATCTTCAGACAGTGTGAAACATGGCCAGAGATGTTAGAGAAACTGGTTATAAGTGGTTAGGGTAGCCACCACAGTGACTACACACACGCAAAGGAGACCTCAGCAACAGGAGCACAAGAAAAGTACCTTTTCAGTGGTCCTACCTTGTTATCAGAGGCTGCACATTTGTTTCCCAGCTTATCAGACCCAAAATAATCACACAGAAACTATATTATTACAAAATTATTTGGCCTATTAGCTCACACTTATTATTGGCTAGCTCTTATATATCAAATTAACCCATTTCTACTAACCTGTTTACTGCATGTGTTTGTGGCGTACCAATATGGTTCAGTTCAGCATCTGTCTCCTGCTGTGGCTACATAGCTTTTCTTTGACTCTACCTACTCTCTCCTCTTCTATCTGCTTGGAATTCTCTC